TAAAGAATACTAAAAGCACTATAACCAACTCTGATAAGTGCATGGGTTATGGTGCTGAGGGCACTGTGTCCCTCTCTCCCTTCTCATTGTTCTTTTTAACTGCAGTGGTTTGCAAAATTAATGCAGCCTCCACCCTGCCCCCAAGTGACTATGGGTCCCCAAACCCCTAGTCACCATCCCCAGTGACTAGGGGTCCTCAAGCCTCTAGCCTCATTAACTCTCCAAATAAAATAAAACCCTACTGTGACGTATCGCCTGGCACCCCGACTGGGTGCCTTCACCAATTGTTGCTTCTTTAGTGCTTACCGAGTACCACAAGCATCGCATCAGACACCATCAGCACTGTAGTCCCCACTTCCAGCGTTACAGCTTGGTTGGGGTCTCGCTGTCCTCCAGCCACCATGGACCTGAAACCAGGATCCAGCTTCCAGTGGGTAGACCTCTCCTCTAAGAGAGTGTAGCAATATGCTCTTAAAAGAGAAAGTGATTATAATCCCAGAGGAGTATAGTGATATAGCAATCCCCAGCGTGATACAGCTGTTCCCCCTCACACATGAGATGAGACTCTAAGTTGAGGCTAAGCAGGAATTAGTTTATTGGTAGCCACAACTGGCCTTATATGCAGGTCCCCATGCAAGGGGCACTCCCTCCTTGACCTGAGAGTAGACTACAGTAAAACATACACACAATTACATTGGCTTTCAGGTCCAGGACACTCCCACATAAAACAAGATAATCCGTCCTCTGTGCCTGGGAGATAATGGAGTTTAATACAGTGCTTGACTCAATTATCTTCAGGCACAGAAAACATATATTTTTATAAAATCCCAAAAATAAATTTAAACACACAAAACCCCCACAAAAGTTACATCCCCTGATAGGTGTCCAACATATCCAAAAATCACCCCGATCGGTTCAAGAATTTCCTGGAAGTCATGATTTGACCGACCGCATGCATGGTCCCATGCCCAAAATAGTTCCAGAGAATCAGGGCTTGCGGTCGGTCTAGTTCGGTAGTTTAAAAACCGAACAAACTACTGAACCTAGTCAATGTTCTTACCCTAGAGCTTGTTCCCCTCATCCAGACGAACGATTCCACTGAACAGTGCCATCCTAAATTGTATAGAACCGAACGCAGGCGATGATGGAAGTCCAGCGGTGTTCGGAAGTTTCTGTGTCTGATATTAGTTTCAGGAACTCGACAACCAAACACCGCTGCCTGCGTTCATGCGAACAAGATGGCCGCCACTTCGTGGTCGTTCATGGGAACAGCGGCCACCCAAATAGACAATTAGAACACTGCGGTTAGAATCGTTACTAAGTGTTAATAGGGTTTAACAAGCTCCTGGGTGGTCTCTGGTTCGTGTGGCTGTTCGGGAACCGAACCATATAATCCCAATTGCACGAACAGAGCCCTTTTAAAGTATTTTAGCCAGGTCTATTGCAGGGGGCCATAGACCTGGGGCAGGAGGCTGGCGAGCAGGCTCCTCCAAAAGCCCATGGCTTTCCTACCTCCTCATCCTAATAATAGTGAGGGGATGAGCAATAAACAAAATACCTGAAAATAAAAAAAATCACACTTACCGTTGTGTGTTTTCCTTTTTCTAAAATCATTTTTTTTTGCCTCAAAAAAGCCCAATTAAAAATCCATAAATCCTGTCGAACAAATAAAATAAATAGACCCAATTGCAAAAAAGAAAACACGCCGAAAAAAACCCAACCCAGACAATAAATATAATCCATCTTCACTCAGCGAGGGCTCTGCGCAGGCTGAGCTCAGCAGGGCGGGGTAAGGGTTATAAAGCCTTACCACGCCCTGCAATTTAACTCGGTGCTCTGATAGGTAAATCTTAAAACTTGCAGGTAACCAATCAACCCCATACAAGCAAGTATTCGTTGCATAGCAAGTAGGGGCATTAGGAAGATTTGAATTTCCCTTATACAGATATGTGGATCATGTTGATACCCATAGAATCATAGGGACAGGGGGTTGTTTAGGAAGTGGCTTCTATTTTTACGTATTATATTGAGGGATTCGCAAGCCGGCAGCTCCCTCTTTGTAATTAGAGAACAAATTAAGACCTAATTGAAATTTGGATTTTGTTTGTTCTTTGTAACTTCCATCTGTTTTTCCGACTAACAAATAGCTGAAACTCCCGTCCAGACTTAGGACAATAACGAATGCTGTGTGTTCAACTGGGCTTGTGTAGGAATTTCACAGTGCTGTCTAGTGTGGGCAGATGACGTTTCCCACAGGACCTTTATCTGCCCACACTAAAAAGGCAGCATTTAGGACCAAGATCCAGGCAAGATATAGAGGTTAAAAAATATAATAAAATGGGGGACCTAAGGGCATATAGGGGTGACGAGGGGGACAATCAAATGTAGTGGAGTCCGGAGGGAGGTAAAACAAAATACTCATGCGGCTGTGACATTGTCTCTTTAATGTCATTAATTCTTGAAATAAATAACGGAGTTGTAAAAGTAATGGACTTATATTCTTCTACCTTGAATATTTCTTTACATGAACAATATTACAGCAGTGTACTGGGCAGACATTTATGGGATATGCTTTGTGTTTTTATTTATTTTCTACATAAGCCATCAACTCCAGTCCTGTCAAACTTACTGTTCTACCTTCATTTACTGAAGTAGAAAGCTTTTCCTAAATAGGTTAAGATGAAATAAAGATTAGGTTTGGACAATGTTTAGTTCAGCCATTCACGGGTAGAAATATGCATTTGCAGGAGTATATCATACACTTCCAAGCAGTTGATGGGGAGGCAGGTTCAAGTTGCCAAAGTGACTAAGAAATATTGCTGGAAACTTTGGCAGCTGTTCATGAGATTTTGAAACAATACAGTTGCAGCAGAAACAAGTTATCTCATGATGGCAATGAAGTAGACCTGTCAGGATAACTTCAAAGATCTTTTAATATCACCAATTTCCTAAGCAGTCATGTGATTTCTGACTATACTGTTGCCTTTTGTAATCAGTGTGTCAATATTGTGTAGTATCGTTGAGGCAAAAGAATAAATAATTGTCCATTTAATATCGTAACTTACATTTAAAAAAATTTAAATAAAGCATGACTGCTCTCAATATGCTTCAAAAACAAGGAATGTTTGGGAAGATCTCATCTAAGGTTGAATGCTTAGGAGTACAGGATCATGTATGCATAGAAGCTGGGTGCCATGGCATGAGCCAAAAGTACATGTTAACGTTGTAAGTGAGGGAAAAGGCTTGTAGTATCATATTAGATATCATGTTTTTCTTTTTCTTTTTTTGTTCAATAAAAAAAGCTTGCTACTGTGGAGGAAGTTCTCGTGATGTGCCTTGTGGGACAGATAAGGATAATTATGATGGCTTTGGAAATTTCTCCTGCCAGAAGCACTGTGGCAAGTAAGGCATGGGGAGTAAGACTATATTCTGTTTAGGAGTGGGGGTGTAGAGAGAGGTTTTTTTATTTTTCCTAACTTTAAAGACATATAGTCCACAACAACTTCTACATGTACAATTAAATGTGTGATATAGCATTGCTAAGTTACAGCTAAATAATTGGTGTCAAAATGTTATGAGTTTTTTTTTTTTGTTTGTTTGTTTTACATTGTGTGCCTTTATAGTTCATTGTTTGGAATAATTGAATAACCCTATTAAACAGATTGGCATGTCCCCAATGTCTGCTCTTGTTATGCTACACCTGCCAGCTGCTATTGACTCCCAGCAGGTAGCAAAGATTCAGTTCTACTTAGTTAGGGCCATCCCCAGGCGGATTCCACAAGACTCAGTCCTATCACCGCTTTTAATATGTGGAAATATAGTAAGACGTTAGGGACTGATCAGCCGTATGCTGACACTCCATCTCAGTATACCCAGCATTGTTGGCCTTGAGGACAGAGGAAATTTTGGGCTGCCTGGCAAATATAACCATGTGGAAAACTCTGATCAGGCAGAATTAGTCTGGCAGTAGTGTAGCATATGATCAATCTACCTATTCTAAATGGGATCCACATGATCCCAGTAATGATGAAGAAAAACTTTGTGTTCCTTTGACAGTGGCATATACCACTGACTTGAATAAAAACCTTTTTTTTTTTTAAATGGATTCAACACTGCTTAACTATCAATTGTTTATTGTGGTTTTTTTTCCAGGAAACTAAACTGTGGGAAACACGGCTGTACTGAAGTTTGTCACCCTCAGCCTTGCCAGCCATGCCCGCGACTTCCTCAGCTTGTTCGATTTTGCCCCTGTGGACAGACGCCATTGAGTAAACTGCTGGAACTAGGTTGTGTGGACAGAAAAACCTGTACGGACCTGATCCCTTCCTGTGGGAAGACCTGCGGCAAGCCATTGCCTTGTGGTTCCCATGGTGAGAAGAGCCAGTGTGCAGATTGCATGTTCAGTACTAAACAGTAGGTTAGAAGTGATGGATTTAGTGTTAGGAGCTATAAGCATTAGCTTTCTGACACATTAGCCTAGCCTAGCCATTCTTGTGGTACACCGCTTTAATTGAAACAATTATGTTTATCGTGAAACATTACCATTGGTAAAAATAAGAAAAATAAGAAAAGAAAAGTCTTATTAGTGGTGCATTCTCTAGTTGCCTACAGAGATATTTTTTAGGGTCAGTTTGTAAAGGAGAAGTAAAGGCCATATAGACATAAAAGTAGTATCAGCACAGACCTGGAACTTATGAGTATCACAAAGTATATTGTAACGGAGCTCCAGTACTCCAACCGAGTACCTCCGCCAAGTCTGCTTCCTTGTAGCTATCAGGGACCCTGAAACACTTCAGACCCAGATGCCGAGGCTTGACTGGGATCACTTAGGGCCTATTCCACCCTGGACC